GCCGCCGCCTCCCCAGGTCCGGGCCGCCGTAGCGGGGCGCACCCGCGGCCGCCCGGGTCTCGCAGAAGTTGGCCCCAAACTGAAGAAAGTGCCTGTGCGAAGAGAGCAGGTGAAATCTGTGGCGATCACGCCCTCGGCGGGTCCTCCCGAAACGGGGTCCCTGGCGGCGGCGCGGGCCAGCCTGCGCTGGCGGGACCGCGACCGCCGTCCACTGACCGGCCCACTGCAAGAGGGGATGCCCGGTGGTGGACAGCCTCCGGGTATATACAGCACGTTTCCTGGTTTTTCCTATGAAAGATTTTATGGCAGAATTAAAGACTTTATAGCGCACGTGTGTGGCCCCGGGGTGTAACTGAAGCGACAAAATTCACCCTCCGGTGGAAGAACTCTGGTGCCCATTATTGCCTCCTGTTTTTACTGTTTATTTATGTATATGAGAACTGGGGTGGGGGGCGCTGAGAGTCTCCCCAGAGACAGAGCGGGGAGCAGAACAGGCGGATCCACTGACACCCACTGCTGGGGGGGAGACAGGAGGGGTCTAAGGCGCCCGTGGGTCACTCCCTGGCTGGGGGGGCGGGGGCGCGGGGGAGTGTCAGACTCAGGCTGCAGTGGCTGCCCATAGCTTGATTACCCTGTCTTGAACCCCTGAGCCTCCAGGGAGCCCCCTATTGCCTTCTTGGCTTTGTGTTTCCCCTGTTGTCTAAGTCAGCGTCTGGCTTTTACTCGGGGACTGTCCTCTGTCTTAAAGGCCCCCCCACCCCTCCACACACACACCCCCACCTCAGGGAGCTCACAGAGGTGATCAAGGAGAAAGACAAGGGCGTGAGCGGAACAAACTGCAGTAGGGTGGGAGAGGCAGGAGCCGAGCGAGGACAGAGAAGAGAGCGGCCTGGAGAGGCCCGTGGGAGGCAGCAGGAGAGCTCTGAGTCTGCACGGGGTGGGGAGACCCGGAACTGGGCCCTCGGGAAAGCAGCCGCCGAGATGGCTGGAAATGAGAGCAAGGGCGTCTGAGGGAAGGAGGGCAAAGACGGGGGTCAGCCTGAAGGAGGGCAAAACACGGGGAGCAGGGCGCAGCCTGAGGAGGGCAGGGGACAGCCTTGGGAGGCGGCCAAAGCACAGTGGCCCAGAGGACAAGGTCAAGGGGGCTGGGGGCTGGCCCTGCCCCTGAGCCCTGGCAGGAGGCCCGGGGCTGGTGACCGGGCTTAGGGGAGGATGGAGAACTCTGGCTGCAACCCCGACCAACACTGCCCCAGCCCGACTTCGTGACCCTGGACAAACGGAGTGTGGGCTTCCCAGAGAAACAGGGCCCTCGCTTACATGTGCCCTTGGTCAAGTTCTTTATTTGCTTTAAAAGATTGATTTATTTTATGCATACAAGAACTGGGGTACAGGCCAGAGGTGGGGGGGTGAGAGGACTCCCCAGAGACAGGGTGGGGAGCAGAACAGGTGGATCCACTGAAATCCACTGCTGAGGGAACAGTGCGCGGGTCAGGAGAGGTCTGCCTGTAGGTCACTTCCTTGACCAGGGATTGAACTCGGGCTGCGGCCAGCTTCATAGTGCTGCGCTGTAACCCGCTGGGCCACCAGGGAGGCCTCATCAGGTTCTTGAAAACTCAGTATGTTTAAACAGTGCCCAGAAAATATTCATTAAACTCAGTTGATGGGGATTGCAAGGTTTACTGTTTTCAAATCAAAGTCACCCAGTTGAAGTGTCATGTGGGACAGAGTCTTTGTCCCCACTAGGGGCTCAGAGCTGGGCCTCTGCCACTGCTCCCAGTGTCTCAGGGTCTCCCCCAAACTCAGGCCCTCTCTCTGTGCCCAACACCCAGGGCCACTAGAGGGCGGCACTCACTACAGCTTCAGGCCTGGGTGAGCTTGGTTGGGCGAAGAGCTGCTCCCAGGAAGCTCCGCTGGCCCTTGGCCTCTCCTCCCACCTGACTCAGGGCCCACATTCACACCAGGGGCCACCCCCATTCTTGGAGCAGAGAGTGACATGTTATCCAGCCTGGCGAACCTGAGCAACCCTCTCCTGCGCCCACTACCCCCTTTCAGGTCCTGCATCTTCATCGGTCCCTTTTGGGGAAAGGGAAGAAGAAACAGAAAGAGGATGCTGATCCCTCCCGGGGCGCCAGACCCTAGGAAGGGGAATTCTTTTATTTTATATAAAGATTAATTTAGGCATACAAGAACTGGGGTACAGGCTAGAGGTGTGGGGGGGTGAGAGGATTCCCCAGAGACAGAGTGGGGTGCAGAACAGGCTGACTGACTGAAATCCACTGCTGAGGGGAGCAGCGGGGAGACAGGAGAGGTTTGCAGCATCATGTGGGTCACTCCCTGGCCTGGCTGGGATCGAACTCCTGCTGTGGTGGCTACAGACTTCGTAATGTGCTTTAACCCTGGCACCGCCAGGGAGGGCCCTAACCAAACTCTTTAACCCAGGCCAGCCTCCCAGGGCACAAAGTTTGCTCCCGTCCAGGTCTGATGCCACACAGGGGCAAGTCCAGAGACCCGCCTCTCCCTCTGCAGATGGGTCCCCAGCCAGTCCTCAGAAAGGCCTTCGGGGTCCATGTCATTCACAGGCCCCTGCTCGTGCAGTTCCCACGTGGGGGGGGGAAGCCTTCAGTGACTGCTGCTTTTTGGGGGGGGGGGGCCGGGGGGAAGGTTTTCTTTGCCCAACTCTGGCCATTCCAGGCTCCAGGCACAAATGCCTCCTCCTTCCAGTCTGGAAACGGGGAAATGACGCGTAATTTATGAGCACACCAGCCCAGAGTGCAGGAGTCACACGCACAAAGGGCCGGGTAAATATTTAAGGATTAGAGCCAGCTGGGGAGAACCACAAAGGCTGGGACAATGGGGGGCTCTCAGAACTCACTCTCGGGGCTGGGCAGCGGGGCCCAGTGTTGAGTCTCACCAGAGACTCTGCTTTTGTCCGCTGAAGGGCCCTCAGCTGCTGGGCTGTTGGGAGCCCAAGCTGGCTAAAGGGAGTTAAACAATCACAGCCTCTCCAGCCCCTCTGTGCACAACTGGCAGAGTCATTTCGGGGCTTTTGCTGTGTCCGGTAGTTAATGACCTGGAGTGACCACTTCATTGGGCTTTGAAATGCTTCTGTGGAGGCCGGTGTATCCCCTCTTCACAGCCTCCCCAGTTAGCCTCTCTTTAAAAGCCCCGGGCAGAGCAGGAAGGGGTTACCCTGCTTACCCCCAGGGAGGTCACCAGAGAAGGCTCCTGCTCTGGGCCCTACAAGGCCTTGCCCATCTCATTTCTAGACCTGACTGCCTATAAGTTGTTTCTTTTGCCAGAGTAAAACAAAACAAACGGGGCCTCCCTGGTAGCGCTAGGGTTAAAGCACTAGCCAGCTCCTGCCAGTCACTTCAGCACCAGTTTGGTCCTGACCAGGGAGCCACCCACAGGGCAGCAGACCTCTCCTGTGTACCAGCAGTTGATTTCAGTAGATCCCCACTCTGACTCTGGGGAGCCCTCTCACCCCTCCCCCAGCACTTCTGACCCACACCCCAGCTCTTGTATGCATAAGTAAATCAATCTTAAAAAAAAAAAAAAAACCAGAGCCCCCCTGGTGGCACGAGGTGAGGCGCTGCGCTGTGAAGCTGGGTGCAGCCTGCAGCACGAGTTTGATCCCTGGCCAGGGAGCGACCCTCAGGGGCGGCAGGCCCCTCCTGACCCTCCTGCTGCCAGCAGGGCACTTCATCAGTCGGCCTGTTCTACTCCCCGCTCTGTCCCTGGGGAATCCTCTCACCCACTCCCCACAGCTCTGGCCTGAACCCCAGCTCTTGAGTGCATAAATCACTAAATCTTTATTTTAAGAAGTGGAAGAAGGGCGCACAGAGCGCAGACCACTCTGGGCCTTAAATTCCCCAGCATGAACAAGCAAAGGGCTGGTCCTGAGTGCCCTGCAGATTTCTAGAACCTTCTCCTTATGGAAAAATTCTTTGTCTCCTTGACTAGGAAGAGGGCATCCTGGGCCTCCCCAGGGCGCTGCCAGAACGTGTGCTCCTTTTCAGGCCCCCTGGGCTGCCGCTAAAGATGGAAAGGGGAGCTAACCTACATCCCGCTCAAGCCAGGCCTCAGCTGGTTCTGCGCGGCCCGCGCCCGAGAGGGCGTCCTCTGCCGACTCTCAGGGAGGACGACGTGACCCGCATACTGCTCCCCCAACCTGGGAAAACGCCTCCCCTCCCCAGCCGGCGGCCACAGGGCACCCAGGTTCAGGGCTCGCGACCAGGTGCGGGAGGGAGCGGCTGGGCTGACTGCTGGGTGCGGAGAACTGACCCCACGCGGGCGGGAAGCCGCCGACCAGCCCAGAAGGAGCCAGAATTGGGGGTAAAGTGGGGGTGGGGTGGAGGAGCTGCTTCCGAGCCCCGGGGGAGGGGAGGTGGGTTTGCACCGATCCAGTTCAGTTTTGACTCCTGCACGACCTCCAGCGGGTTTAAAGAGCCGAGCTGGAGGAAGGGGGCGCCGGGGAGGGGGCGCGGGGGTCCCACAGCGCGGGGGGAGGCCCAAGCGGGGAGGGCCCAGCCCAGGCCCTAGTCAAAAATCGTGGAGGGGGCAGCGAGGCCTACCAAGTGGGCGGGCGCAGGACGTGACAGCCGTGGGGTCTCGCCTGGCCGCCCCCTCCCGCAGCCGAAGCGGAACATTGCGAATTAGCGCATTTTGCGGTCAATTTTCCACCGCTTAAGAAACGCGGAGCCACCCGCGTGAGCAGCACCCCCACCGGCGCCCGAGCGCGCTGGGATTCCTGGGCCTGGGCTGAAGAGGGGCAGGAGGTGCCGGGCCCGGTGCGAGCGGAGGGGCGGGCGGGCCCCTTTATGGCCGCCCCAACTCTGGAGAGGGGCGGGCGGGGCCCCGCTGCGGCGCGCAGGACCATTGGTTTGCTAATGTGCCCGAGTTGAAAGGCGCGCCGGCGGTTTATGGGGAGGGGTCATAATTAGGGGACAAATTGCCCGGCTACCCGCGCGGCTGGCCGGGGAGGGGGAGAGGCGCGGCCTCCGAGCGCGCGCAGCCTCGCGCAGGTGAGCAGCAGCTGGAAGCCCGCGCTCCGCGGGGCGCCGCGAGTTCCGCCCCGAAGGGGCGGGCGCGGGCGCGGCTTTGTGCGACCCCACAAAGCCTTTAACACCCGACTGCCCGCTTTGTGTCCCCGCGCCGCCCTCCCGCCCCGCGGCGCCTTTGTACGGCGCCCCCCTCCCCGCCCCCGGCCGGGACCCCCTCTCCGAGGCTGCTCAGCCCCCGCCGCCCCGGCGCTTCAAAGCTGCCCGGCGCGTGCCAGAGTCCGCCGTCCGCGGGGCCCTGCAGCTCCGCCCCCGCCCCGGGGCGGCGGGGACCCTGCGTGCGGGCCCCGTCGCTCCCGCGGGAGAGTTCCGAGCCGCCCAGGCCGCGGCCCCGCGCTGAAAGGAGGGCGGGCCGCGATTCTCCACGCTGCTGGCAGCCTGGGAACGCCGCCGCCTCCGCGACCCCGCCAGTCAATACCCTGTAGAGGGCGGGGTTGGGGCAAGATTGCCGAATCGAGCGCTGGGGCGCCCCCCCCCCCACCGCTTCTCCCCCTTATGCTGGGGGCCTGCAAAGGTCAGTTTGGTCATTCCTCTGCAGCAGGGCGGAATGGCACAGCTTTTGCGTGCAACTGCCCCTCCCCCTTCCTCAAAAGCAGGCGCGGGGACCCGCATGGTGGGGAACCCCATTTTACAAACCTTGAAGCTAAGCTCAGGCGAGCTCAGTAGAGGAGGAGGCCTGCCTTTGGGCCTGGGACTCCTCCCCGGCTTAACCTCCCCGCAGTGGGCAGCTGGAAGAGGTCTGCCGAGGTAGGCAGAGTCCCAAGGCCTAGCTCACACTCTCCCTGCAGCTGAGGACTCCCGGACCCCAGCACTGCCAGAATTCTGGGAAGCGTCCCGCTGGCCCTCCCAAAGTGCAGGGCAGGCTCTCGCCCGGACCCTTCCCCACACCCCCCTCCCATTTGTGGGGACTGAGGGAAGGTCTGTGGAATAAATTCCCAGGTCTTCGCTGAGGGAAGGGGTCTGTTGCCTGCCTGGAGCGGGACTGGTTCCCGGGGGTGCGGAGGTCACTCTGGCACCAGCCAGAGCAGCTCCCTCCCCGGCGGAAGGGCCGGGATGTGTCCCTGGGACGTGTCCGCCTACGCCTCCAGCCCCTGGGCTGGCGAGGAAGAGGCTGGCTGAGCCCGCGGGCGGGCTGCACGCTTTAATGGAACACATGTTGCTGCGTGGCCCCGCGGCCCAGCCTGCGCCCGGCTTTGAGTGGCTACAGGCAGAAAATCGCTGCATTGTCCCGCCATTAGGGCGACTAATGTGCCTTGCCGGGGTGGCCCGAGCGTGAAGCCCGCAGAAGCGTCACCGGGCTCGCTCCCAGTCTCCGTGTCTTCATCAGGCCCAGGCCAGGCACTCGTCACGGTCGTTAGAGCGCTCAGCAGGCTGGGCCACGGGCCTGGGCCTGGCAGTGGATGCCCCAGAGACCAGAGGCATCCGACTGAGCAGGTGAGGCAGGTGTCCAGACCCAGACCCCAGGGCGACTGGCTGGGACAGAGCAGGAAGGGGTGGCCTGGACCCCAGACTCGGGGAGGGGAGTGGGGCCACAGTGAGAAAGGGTAAAAGGGGTCTCTCTGGCGGGAGGGGGTTCCTGGAGGGGAAGCTGAAGTCTGGGGGCGGTTTCAGGCCAAAAGAGGTGGGGAATGCCCTGTCCTGGTGCACCCCCCTTTTGTCTCCTCCCCCCCAGGGGTCCTCCAGACTAGGAAAGCCTCATTGACATGTAAACGAGGGGCCGTATAAGGGTGGTGCTGCCTCCCACTGGCCCAGAAGCCACAACATGGGCACTGAGCCCACCGCCCAGGGCAGCGCCAGCGGCCCGGCTGGCAGCTTCCGCAAGGTTTGGGGGCCTTGAGGGGTGCAGGGTGAGGCCCGCCTAGGCCCTGCAGGGATGGAAGATTAGAGGGCCATGGTCCTGTCTTCTAACGGTTGTTTGTCCACAGATCTCCAAACCGTTGATGGAGAAGAAGCGACGGGCACGCATCAACGTGTCACTGGAACAGCTCAAGTCTCTGCTGGAGAAACACTACTCCCACCAGGTGAGGGAGTGAGCGGTGGGTGATGAGATTCCAGCACCATCCTCTCCAGCCAGACCCCAGCTAAGAGCCCTTTTCACATATCTGCAGATCCGAAAACGCAAGTTGGAGAAGGCGGACATACTGGAGCTGAGCGTCAAGTACATGGAAAGCCTTCAGCACTCGGTGCAAGGTAGAAGGCAGGTCCTGGGCGGGGAGGGGGGCCTAGAGCGACGTGAACCCTGAGCCATTGGATTCAAGGCTGGGTAACTAGGTCAAGGAGGGCTGGCAGAGAGCCTCAGGGCAGGAGGTGGGAAGGAGAGGGCACGGTTGAGTTGTTTTTTTTTTTTTCAAAGATTTATTTATGCACACAAGAACTGGGGTACAGGCCAGAGGTGCGGGGACCGATGTGAGGACCCCCCAGAGACAGAGTGGGGAGCAGAACAGGTGGAGCGACTGAAACACACTGCTGAGGGGGATGCAGGGAGACAGGAGAGGGCTGCTGCGGCCTGGGGTCACCTCCAGGGCTGGGATTGCACTCAGGTTGCAGTGGCCGAGGGCAGCTTGATGGTGCTGCGCCTTTAACCTGGTGCCAGCGGGGAGGGCCCTGGCTGTGTAGTTTTAATCCGGGCTGGTGAAGGTCTGGACCCTAGGGCAGCCGTTTGGGTCTCCTTCTCTTTCCTTCGTCCCTTCATTCTCCCCTCCCGTTCTCCTCTCTACATCGCCCTCCTTCCTTCCCAACCCTCCATTTCGGTCTGCTCCCCTCTCCCCTAGGGCTCTGGCCGGTCCTCAGCGGGGCAGAATACCCGTCAGGTTTCCGCGGCTGTCTGCCCGGTGTTAGCTTGGCTCCGAGGCGCGGAGAGGACGGCGGCGGCCTGCGCTGCCCCCTGGCGCACGAGCGCTCGGCTGGCAGCACCACGGACAGCGCCAGCCTGGGCCAGGGGGCGTCGGCGCCGCGCGACCCCAGCGTCCCCGCCGTTTGGGGTTCTGCTCCCGCTGCGGGCGGCTCCCTGCCTTCACCACCCCGCCTTCCCTGCATCGTGGCGCCACAGCCAGCGTCTCACCGCTGCGCCGAGAGCCCAGGGCTGGGGCTGAACGTGTGGCGGCCCTGGTGAGACCCCGCTTCAGACTCAAGAAGGCCCCGTCTGGGCTGAGGCCCTAGCTAGAGACGTTTGAGCGCCCCGGTGATGGTGGTCGGGACCCTAGTCGTCTGTTCTGGTCTCAGCCGGGAGGGTGCGGCAAACCCGCCAAGGCGCGAAAGCCCGAGTCTCGCCTAGGCCAGGGGCTTGCATCTAGGTATGTCCACCCCTCACTCCAGCGTGCCCTCCAGAGGCCGGGACCCCTCTCTCCTCCCACCCTCTGATGGGGCTGGGAGGGGAAGTCTGGAGCTGCACCCTTTTCCCAGGGGCCCCGAGCGGGCAGCCCGCCCCCTCTCCCGCCCCCGGGCCTCCACGCGGTGGGAAGGCCTCGGTCGACTGCGGCGCAGAGCGGACCCCTGGCAGCGAGGAGAATCGCTGCCCCGCCCAGGCCCATTCAGTGGGCCGAGGATGCCCAGTTCCCACCGGCACAAAGCGCGCCGGCCCCGCCCCGCCAGCAAGGGGCCCCCACCCCACCCCCACCCTGGAAGCTTTTCCGGCTTCCCCGGGGCTACCCCCTCCGCACGCGGCGCGGCCCGCCCCTCTCGGAAGATCCGTCGGAGCTACCAGGTCCTCAGCCGGCCCGGGCGGGGGAGAAGGAAGCCCTGCCCTGCCTCCTATCCCCCAAGCTTGGGAGGGACCCCGCGGGGGGGGCGGGCGGGCCAGCCGAAGGGCGGCTATGGCGAACCCGGGTTCTGTCACGGGAGAGGTCACCTTCCACCCTGGACAAAGACCCCGACCCACAGTGCCACCGCGGTAGCTCCACCCGCCACCCTCGGGCTGCGGGAATATGCGACTCCCGACAGCCTTCAGAGCGGTCCGTGAGCGCTCATTCTCCCGAGAGGACGTGGTCGCTGAGCGCGACTTCGAGCTGGGACATGCCGTCAGCGCTCCTTCCTGGCCCCGCACGAGTCGTGGCCCCGCGGCAGCCTCGGGGTCTGGGAGCCAGCACCTCCTCCCACCTGCTCGGAATTCAGAATAAAGACTGAGCCTGTGAAATGGGTAAGAGACCACGAAGGCTCTAGTTTCTCCCCCAGGCTCATCTCTTTGCGCCACATGTGGCAGCTTTCTGTAAAACACCTCCCCTTTTGGGTGTGCGAACTCGTCCTGCTCAGGCTGTGGGTTGAGCGCCCGCCCCGCCTCCGCGGCTCGGCTGCCCACTGCACCCAGCAGACAGACGACACAGGCGGAGCCCGGCCCAGCTGCGATCTTGCGGGCGCCTCGCCTCTGGGGCTGTCGGGGTGGGGGGCTACTTCCTCTCTGGACCACCAGGTGGCGATGTTGCTTTGTGCGCGGGGCGCGCCGCCCGACTCCGCGGCGGGAGTGGGGTGCGCTGGCTCCTCGCCCCCAGGGCCTGTCCTTCTCGTCTTTTGAACCACTCCCAGGGGAGCCAGAGCCCAGAAGACATCCCCAGGGCTGCCCTGAGGGCTTCTTGTTGCTCCGTGCGCATCCCCCTCCTTGGAGAGGGGCAGCCTGTGCTGGAAACAGGCATGGACACCAGTGGAAGAATTCGGGGCCCAGAGGGAAAAACATTGGGGCGCGGCTGCCTAGCTCCGGATAGGGCTCCCAGGGGTGTTTCCATAAAACCAGCCTAGCAGTGCTGGGTGCAAATCGTTAGGCAGTTTTATTGGATTCTGTACAGTAGAGAAATGCTCAGTTGTCAAAAAACTACAAACAGACCCTGGCTCTGGATGGACGCGGAATGGACACAGAGCTCGTCCTCAGCCCACCCAGGGTCAAGCTGCTTCTCAACGCAGCCAACAGGTCTGGAGGCTGGACAAAGTGTGCAGGGGTGGGCACCTGGCCCCCAGCTTCCTCCACTGGTGCTCCCTCCTCAATTTTGTAAAATCGGGAACTGGAGGGATTTTGGGTTAGGTCCTCCCGAGATATTGCCACTGGACATGAAAGTGTGAAAAACCAAGGTGAGAGTGGGCCAGGCTGGGGCGACAGTGGCTAGCTGGTGATCTCTGTCCCCCACACGAAGGCACAGCGTCATTGGCCAGGGCTGGACAGCAGCACCCCCGTCTGGCTCACCTGTGGCCAGCTCATCCCCCCAAGTGACCCCACAGTCAGGGGTCTCTGGAGCCGAGACAGGCTGCCCGCCCTGATCCCTTTGCCATTCTGGGCTGGGACCTGTCTGGACTGGGGGGAGGTGGGTGTGGCCACCCAGTGGGCAGAAGCATCTCTGTCATTCCAGGTTGCAGAGCAACAGGGAACAGGACACAGGCAGCTCCTCGCTGCCCCGAGCGCGCCCAGGCAGGTCGCAGGGCAGGGAGACAGCGTTTGTCCTTGTCCCTCCAGTTCTAGGCAACAGCTGTGCCGAGCCACCCCCAGCCTTCTACACACACACACACACACACACAGCCAATCTCCAGCCCGCGGGTCTGCCCAGGATGGAGCAGAGGAGCCTGCCCTGGGGCTGGGAGGAGCCTCACCAGGACCGGGCGGCCTCTCAGTCAGGACCCCTTCCAGGCCAGCCCTGCCCCTGCAGGTGGGGAGGAAGCACGGATGGGCAGGCAGCCCCATCCGAGGAAGCCCCATGCCTGTTTCCTTCAGGCCCTCCCACCCTGCACCCACGTCGGCGGGATGGGAGCCACAGGGCTGGCCGTGGGGTGCTAACGGCGGTCCATGTGGGGAAGGCGCCACGGGAGAGGATGCGGATGTATTGTGCTTCCGATGGGGTGGGGAGTGAGGGCTCTGGGGGGCTGGGGGTGAGGGCCAGGCTCAGGCCTGGGTGCTGCACCCCGCAGACTAGCCCACGGAGGACCCCAGACCACCTCACACCCTGCATGGAGCAGGAGCCTTCAAAGTCCTGAGAGTTAGTGTGGTCACCTGCTCGTCACTATGGAGAAGCGGAGGCAGAGTGGGTCAGAGACCTGCTCAGATTGTTTGGGGGCCGAAGACCCTGTGCTAGAGACCCCCCACCCCGGCGCCTCTCCCCCTGTGGAGTGAGGGCGTGCAGAGCAGACAGGATGCAGTCGGGGGCCCTTCTGCTCCAGAGTGGGCATTTCCCTCACAACTGTGGCTCTGTGTAGGTTCCCCACCCCTCCCCAGCTCCGGAGCTGAGCGGGCGTGCAGCTGGGCATGCAGAGACCACCTTCACCCACGCCCAGCCTCGCTCTGCCCGGAGATGCCAAGCCGGCGGCAGGTTTTGTGCCCCGCGTACTCATGCGGGCAGCCGTCGCTCCTCCGAGCAAGGCCCGCTTGCCGCAGCGGGCAGAGAATCCCGCTCCGTTGACTCTGGGAGGGCTGGCACACGTCCGGGCAACGGTGATGGGCACCGCGGGGGACTGTCC